CAACTTTGTCTAGAGTGTCTGATTTAGTTAATAGAAAGTAGTGGTACAGTATATGTGGGATTTTTTTAGTTTTTATGTTTTAACTTTTTAATAGCAAAACAGAGAACACACATTTCCACTGTGATGTGCCAGTTGGGATTTAGGAACAAGCAGGAGAAATCACCTTGCAAAACACCACCACTGAGATAGAGAACTTTATATTTCCACCAGCATTTAGCTGCTTTTCAAAAATATGTATTTTTAAGATGTTAGAATTGAAAATGTTTAGAGTTTCTTTCTAGCTTTGTGCCACATGGTTTGAAAATCCTAAACAGGCGTTTGATGAATCAGTGTCTCTTCCCATTCCTTCTGCCCTGCAAAGACTGCACATTTTAAGAACATGTTGTTATGTCTCCGTAAATTGAGAACATAGCAGGAAAAAAAAACCAACCTGAATCACCAGAGGCAGTGGTAATGGGATATAATTTTTCAAACCCCTCATTGTTACATTACTGACAAAAATAGCAAAGGTTGAGCATCAGAGCTGTCACAGCTTTTATTAGTGTATTTAAGTGGCCTTTTCTGTGGCTGCAATTGCGCTGTGTTTCATATGAGTTTGGTCCTTGAAGTATGTTTATCCTTTTTACTTCTTGAGGGAGGAAAACCAAGCATCCACTTCTTGTGGAGAGGGAGAAAAAAAAAATAAGGCTTAGGTCAGCAGACTGGATTGGTGTCACTGTGCATTGAGCTTAAGAACTCGGGATGTGAAAGAATGAACACATTCCATCTGGGCAAGAGAATGATGTCTGCTAGGGTTCAGTTTGCTATGGTTTTTGAGCTTTTTGTATGATCTCATCACTGGAGGAGGAAAGTATATTCTCCCATAAGAATAATCTTATACTTATGATTCATTACTACTGTGGTTTTTTGTGTGAGCCTTTTGAGTGCCAGACCTCCCCCCACTCTTCCACCCCAAATAAAAACCAGCCACCCTGTCGTTGGCTTTATATGGTATTGCTGTAGGTGGACTTACCCAGAATAATGGCTGGCTTTAACAATCAGAGCCTTGCATCTTTGTCTGGAGAATAACTCCTCCTAACATATATTTATCCAGCTATTTGTCAAGCTTTACATTCTGGGAAGAGAGCTTTGTACACTTTGTCTCCTAAGGTTTGGTAAGCACTTTTTTTGCATGAATGTTCCCTCGTATGAATTTTTTGTTTTCTGCAAATAATTTCATAGACTTGGTTTAGTAAGTTTGCTTGGGAACATACTGAATTCTCAGTTTTTCTTTGTTAATATTTCACTGTAGCTCCCCAGCACGCTGCCCTAATAATCCAGCAATCAGTTCTTGGAGCAGCTGTGCATTTTGGCAGTAGCACGTGAAGCTGGAGATGCTCAATCTCCCACATCCCCTGATCAACTCACACCTTGAAAAGGTGCAGGCCGATCCAAGTCTGATGGTTTCTGGAACCATTACACCCCACCAGGAAGAGGAAAATTTGTAGATAGGCAAGGAAACTCAGTAGGATGCTTTTGAAGGCCTAATGACATGGCATTTTTCTCTTGCAACATAGCTGGAGACAATTTGTTTATTTGCCACCAATGTAAAAAAATCTGCGTTTGTGATCAGACCCAAGTGATTCTGGTGCAGTGAATGAAGGAAGCCATCCTAGCACAGGTCATGTAAGGGACACAGGTGTCACAGCAAACCCTGGGGACTGTGAGGAGCTCATTTATAGATGCTGAGATGGGTGAAGATCTGTTCCCTAATACAAGTACAACAGGGAAGTGTCATAAGCAGGAAAAGCAAGAAATACAATAAATGATACCATTCTTATTCACTTGGCTCTTGCTCTTTTGCAAGAGCTCATATATATTTGGATGCAAGAGGCTGGTTGAAGTTCTAGTAACAGTGTGTATGTTAAAGTCAGAATTTTCCTAGAAAAAGGTGGATCTTCAGAAAAAAACCCTAAACTGTATTTTTCATTAGACCTGTCAAAGATAGTCATGAGCTAACAGTGTGGATTTTTTATTTGGTGTAACCCTTTGAAGTTAATGGATTTCTAATATGCTTTTCTTTTTGCATTTTTAAATACTTTATGGTGTCTAATTATAATGTACAATATACAATATTCAGATGCTAAACTAGCAAATTGCCATTGAAGAGCAGAACTAAAGATTCTTTTCACTAAAGCTCATGCCTCCATGCTTTTCTTTTTTTCTTCATTTTAGAGAACTTATTACTAAGAGAGAGTAATGGAATAAATCACCCTTTCACCTGATAATTATTGAACCCTGGAAATGGGCTAGCATCCTGTGGTGGTTTCATTTCTTTCTGATGGGGATCTTTTCTTTCTTTCATTTTTCCATCTTATTCTTGCAGCCTGATAAACAAAGTGCTGTGTGGTGGGAGCTGTTGGCAGGAGGGGAGCATGTCACCTTCAGATTGATACCTGGATATGAAAATGACACACTTGGAACACTGAAATTTTAGTTACAGGATTTGTATGAAGTGAAGGCAGAAGGTTTATTATGTAGCGATTGAAAAGGTCAGCTGGAAATGGTTTGTATTTGTCATTTTTAAAAGTTTGTGAATCATCTCATATTTTTATATGAATAGGAGTAATTCCCTGTTATGAAAATTTTTGTTTTAAATGGAACATGAAGCAGTTGAGATCTAGACTTGGTTAATACTTTCAGTTGTAAGACATGGCCTGAGAAGTGGAACTAAAAATAGTTTAGCAGTTGTTAAAGAAAAGCTAGAAATTCAATTCAAGGTCATCTTATTTGCACTTGTGAAGAGTGCCACTTGAATACTGAATAGTTCTAAAATAAATAGGTTCTTCTTTATTTTTCAATTCTTTTTGGTATGTTAAATAAAATAGTGTAAGAAGTTTTATAAACTTAGGCTGAATAAGAGCACCTGAAATTTGATGGTCTCCTGCTCACTGTACCATTACTCAGTCACTCTCTGCTTCTACCTCTGTTGTAATTGGAACATATTAGCTTAGAATCACAGTCTCAATTTTTAATAGAATCTTTTTTTTTTAAATCTGTCTGGCACATGACTGAGTAGAAGTTACTTTTTGGCAAGAACTCTGCAAAGCAAATCAGTATCTAGGCCTGTCACCTATGGTTTATTATGCCTGTGATTGATCCAAATTAAAATATAGCAAAAATTTATTATGGCTTCAGAAGTTTTCCAAGTTTACTATCAGGCATTTTAGAAAAACCACTACTGTTTGTCATGTACTTTGTGAACAGTACAGAATGTTTCTAGGTTTGAACTTTGAGATGTGTGCCAAAAATATCTAAAAATAAAGAAATCCAGTAGGTTCTTGCACTGTCCTCTTCTCAAGTGAGTGAACTGTATTTCACTGTGGTATATATTTAATGAGACTGCAAAATGCCTAAAAGCTGTACCAAAATTTATTTTCTTTGCATTTAGTCTTCGTGTTTTGAATGTGCTCCTTCCAGTCTAAACTATAAACTATGCTTGGAAAAGAAGCACTTTAGTTATGTATATTATTACTTTTTTATCCCTAAATTGAAGTAGAAAAAGGGTGGTCTAACTAAAGGTTGTAATCCCATTCTGATCTAGTTGTTGAATAGGTGATGAGGTTAGAACTCTTGCATTTTTAAAATTAGGAACCTTTTTCCTCATTTGATCATGAGTCTCCCATGTGCATGAGAGACATGATCTCAGTGTTCTCTCTTCTCCATGAGCCCTAAAGAGCATCCCAGTATTGAGCACTTTTAGAATTGTTAGAATGCCATGGAAAGTGTGATAGAAATTGATTCTGTTTTCTTTAAAATGTCAGGATTGAAAGTTAAAACAGCTGGATGTACTTCAGAATTTTCTTGTGTTAAGAGATATGAATAAGATACTGAAAAATCCAGCATGGTCTTTTGAAAAAAAACCCAACAAACACACACACCCCTTCCCAAACCAACCAACCAATAAAAATCACAAAAACAAGATGAGTGGGGGAGGCATCCTTTCCCTCTTCCATCAAATATTAAGAAACATTCCTTTACTTTCCTGTGTCTCCTCAGCCTTCTCAGTTTCCCAAATGTTAGGCCACATTCCTTGCAAGCCAGGCATCATGTGCTTCCTATAATGCTGGATGTGCTGGAGTGGTATGTTCACAGAATCTGACTTGCTGATAAGAAATCATTCCTTTCTATTTTGGTTTCCTGTCTGCATCTGGACATTACCCCCAAAGAGAACCTGCATGGATGGTATCACCCTTTCCCCTCCTAATAAATACTCTGTTTCTGGTATGCTCTGATTTCATGTGTTTCTTACATGATGACATTCATGATGTGCTCCTTTTTAACTTCAGGCTGTAGCTCAGCTTCCAGATGACTGGCATAATCAGGATTAGCTACCAATAGCAATCTCCTGATGAATTTGCACTTTCTTGTGATCAGTAGAACCTTTTCTCAGGGAGAAAATGTTACATCTGGGTGTCAGCTGTTGTAAAATGTATCAAAACCAAAATGAGTTTTATTTGTGAGCTGATGCAATTTTTGTGCTGGACTTTATTCCCTGTGTTTGTTTCCTTGTCTAGATGTAAAAAGGTGCAAGGGCCTTCCAATTCTCATTTCTTGTAGGAGTAATTTCCACTGGGAAGGGTAGATTATGTGAAGCTTGTGCAACTCCATATTCTTTGCTCTTTGTACATGGTTATGGCATTTAATGAAAATTCATGGCTGGTGGTAAGGAAAAGGAGGAGGAGAATAACTGTAAGGGGGAAAAGTGCAAAAAGAAGAAGTGAATACCTTCTTGATCTCTTTTATTAGTTGTTAGGCCTGCCTGTCTGGACCACAGCTTTTCAGAATGAACTCATTTAAGCAAAATCTCAAAATCCTGGTGATATTGTATTCAGAAACGTGGAATTTCAGCAAGTTGCAAGGGCTGTTGCTTTAACATTTTAAATCAAAACAACTTAACCAGAAAGATGATGCTTTGCCACAAGTAATTTTATTTTTTCCTCCACTTTGTATATTACCAGTGAACAGAGTATCTGCCAAGCACGAGCTGCTGTCATGGTCTACGATGATGCCAACAAGAAATGGGTACCAGCTGGAGGATCAACTGGATTCAGCAGAGTTCACATCTATCATCACACAGGCAACAACACTTTCAGAGTAGTGGGCAGGAAGATTCAGGATCATCAGGTGAGGAAATCTCTGAAAATTTAGAATATTAAGTCTTCAACAAAATTATTTGGCCATAATTTAAAAAAAAAATTGTGTTTTTTAACTGAAGTAGCAGAACTTTTATTACTTTTTCCCTGTGAACTAAGCACTTTGCATAGCCCCAAGGCAATAGTCCTTTTGCCATTCCTTCCTACAGATATCTATTTATAAAGGCTAGTGGTGTACACAGAAGTCACCTGGTTCTTTTTAAGGCAAAGTGGCAACCTGGAAGCTTCTCTCCCCCACTCTGCACTGTGAGCTGCAGCCTGGGTAGACACCAGCAGTTCTTTTAGCTCTTCCTACCTCATGGAAACTTGGATGTATGATGTCTCATATCCCCAGGTCATTTTGTTCAAAAAACCTTCTGATGTTTAGTAATGCTGATCATCTAGCACTTAAAAGAGAGTGAGAAGGGAGTAACAGGGATTACATCTTTATTTCCTTGATGAAGTTACTGGCTCATGATTAAATAGCAAATTAGCACTCTGTCTGTAAATGTGCTCTGCCATGTAATACTTGGGATGGGGTTAAAACCTAATCTTTTGTTTGAGAGAAGCTTATATTTGTTTCCCTCCCTTCCTCCCAGCATCTAATAGAATTCTTTTGGTCTGTTTTTGGTCATTTATTACACACCTGAAGCCTAAACTGGTAACCCCCTGTGTGATTTGTTACTAAATATTTACTCCAAGTAATAAATAGTCTCTGTGCATTCATCTGAGAGCGAATCTGGGGGTTTTTTTGTCCCATTATTCAGCAGGAAAAGGTGAGAGGATATAGTTATCCAAGTGCAATGGGATCCTCTTAGTGGATGGTTTGTAGTAAATGGTTGCCCTAATAGCTCAAATTTTCATCTTTTGTGTGAGCCACAGCAACCTTGCAAAACGATACCCTGTGATCCATGGTACAAATCCAGCAAACTGCTGCTGAGAGCCCTGCAAGCCAAGGGGTGCAGCAGCCACAGGGAGAAGGTGATAACCTGGTTAAAAAAGAAACCCAACAAACACCCTGTGAAATTCATGGGAAAAGGAGTTTCTGCTTTTCAGATGTGTGTTTCAGTCATCTGCTGCTGGTGTTGCTGCATTGCTGTTAGGAAACGTGGCTGCATCTTTTGAAGTGAGAACACTTTAACTACAAAAGTTGATACAAAATATCTCATTAGTCCCCTTGTGTATTCCCACCGCTGATTACAGACAGTGTTGGAATTAAAATTGAAATGTTTTGTGCTTTCAGCCTTGTGTTTCACAGATTATGGGTCACGAATTAACCCGTGTGGTGGAGGAACAAAATCTACACAAAGCTGAAACTTCTGCTGGAACAGCAATTTTAAACATAAGTAAATTTTTTTTTTTTTTTTATGATTCTAGGTGGTAATAAATTGTGCCATTCCAAAAGGGCTGAAGTACAATCAGGCTACACAGACCTTCCACCAGTGGCGTGATGCTAGGCAAGTGTATGGTCTGAATTTTGGCAGCAAAGAAGATGCCAACGTCTTCGCAAGTGCCATGATGCATGCCTTAGAAGTATTAAATTCACAGGAAGCTGGTAAGAGTCTCTTCACTTCTTTTCTTCCCCTAAGATTGCTCAAGTACAGAAAAATTCAAATGTTTATGTGTAAAAGTCTATAAGCCTTGTTTTTAATCATGAATAGGCCCCTAGGTGTTTTAATTATTTGGATGTTTTGTCTGACTAATTACTGCTTCTTAACAGTGCTTCTCAACTCAACTGGCATCTCTGTAATTGCACTTCCTAGCAAGTAAATCAATTTACATATTTCTAAATTAGATACAGAAACTGCTGGCTTTGCCTTTTTTTTTTTTTAAGGAAGCAAAACAAAAAGACCTGCCCAAGAAGCATAAGGAAGATACTTTTCAGGATTTCTAGATACATCCATGTTCCTATTGTGTGTTGGTAGTTTTGCTTCTCATGGGTTACTAGTTTATTATAAAATTGTGAAGGTTTTTTTCCTCCAAACTTTGCAATTCTCTGGCAGTTTTTACCAGCTCAGAAACCTTGAATCCAGGGTTAACATTCAGATGAGCACATACAATTTAGACACCAGGTTTGTAGTTTCATTTGTTTGAAGTTCAGGGTGACATAGGCTTTAAAATAGTGGTGGAAAAATCCCTGGCTGTCAGTATTCTGCTGATATCTGTAACATATTCTGGGTAGGCTCTACAGCAAATTGATCAGTGTAACACTGTGACACACACAGAGGGAGGTTCTTTTAGAAGACTAAGAGTCTTTTGTGTTCTTGTAACCAAATAGAATTCTTTTGTCCTCATTAAAGTTTCAAGATTGCCTGTGTAACAAGAGATAGTACTTGTGTGCCAGTTTTCTTTCTCTTGTGTGGAAGAGAGGCTGTAGATAACTATACCAGGGCTGTCTCAGCTACAGCAAAAAAAAGATGGTTTTATCAAGTTGGTGTTTTTTCTGGTAGTCCTTTCAAGACTTTTACCTTTTGAAACTAATCTGTCTAGGCTGTGGATGATAAATTCTGCAGTGCTTACATTGTTACACAACACAGGAGGCCAAAATAGAAGTGGTAGCTAGAGTTAGGTGGTTCCTTTTTGCCTGCTAAAATAAACCAGTTGTGATTCCCAGTCTCCTACCTCTCAGCTGGGTGTTTTCTCTTCTACATCCCTCAGTTCTGCTTTCCCTAAGGGTTACTCAGTTGTAAACTTTCCAAGCATTCTGACTGTTCATCGCCTTCTCCCAGCCAGTATTTGGGAACACATAAAGTGTTGGTTTTCATGAAAAAGCCTGATTGATGGTAATTATCACAGGTTTGAGGGGTTCAAGTTCTTTCCCATTACCTGTACTTGAAGAATTTGTGTGTTCAGTGTGTATATAGGCATATACACATCTTTGTAGTTCAGTTTAACTCCTCATAACACCAAACCTGAGCTGCTGGAGAGGCTGAAATGACATAGGCAGGCATGACATTGCTCATTTTTTGTTAGACAGTGTGTTCTTTTTAAATTTTGTGCCTTGTAATTTGTCTAATGACTTGTTCTCTTGCTACTTTATGCAAGGTATTTGTGGGCTGCTGCATTTTTATGTTGCTCAGTAGTAGAAATTTTATTATAAACAGAGATGCCACTTCACTATGTAAAGACTTGGATAAAACTAAAATTTTCTGACTGTAAAATTTCATAACTGGGTATGACTTATCACAGCCTGGTTGCTGACTACAGTGCTGTTGTCCTCTGGTTTGTTCTCAACAGTTCTGAGCTGGACACGAATTAAGGTTTGTAACCATGTTTGAAAGTGACTGGGTTAACCTTTAAGCATTCTTCTGAATTACAACATTGTCACTTTGTTTCTCCTTGTTGTGAATGTAATTTGGTGGTAGCAGCAGGCACAAGTCAAAATGCATTAATTAGCTGGATCACCAGCTAATGGTGAGCACAGGAGATAATTGTTCTTCCCTGGCTGCTGTCTGCCAAGGCTGTGGTGGTTTCAGATGAGCTGTCACCTGTGCCACAGATAGGTGCTCTAGCTTCCACCAAGCTGAAATAAAACCAAACCTTCACATTATCAGCATTGTTTCAGCAGATGAGCAGTTTTGCACTGCTGCTTCTAAAAAAAATTCCTGATAAGGCACTGGGAATTGCTCTCTCAGCCTCATCTCACTTCCAGACAATGTTTAAAGATAAATGTTCATCATGTTTCTGTGTTAGACTACTGTCAACAAGTTTTATCAGCTGGGAAATTTGTCACTGTCTGATCTAGATATTACTTAATTTTTCTGAAGTATCTTTCTGAACATGCTGCTTCAATAATGGAAATAGGTTGCTAAGTGGCTTGCAATTTATAATCCAACTAATTATGCTCCTTGCTCAAAGCTCAGTGAATTTTGCTTCTCTGTAGCTGGTATAATTTCCTGAAAGTGCAGCTAGAAATGAATCCTTGGTGTTAGGTTCCCCCCCCAGGATCTCTGAAATAGATGAATATTTACTTAGACAGGTCACTGGCTCTGAGGCTCTAATATTAGCTCTTCATTTTAGGGAATGGATTGCAGCTGCCTCTCTTTTATAAACAAATTACTCTTTCTGAAAAGGTGTTGAGAGGGTGTGTGTCATAAAATAAACTTACACTGACATATGATGATCAATACATTATATATGATTAGTTTTGTTTCTTTCAATGTATCTGCTTGGCTTTTAAAAATTTCTAGCCCATGCTGTCCTTGTTGGTGTTTCGATGATGCTGCTTCAAAAATCTGTACTTGAAGATGACAACTTGTCTCTATTAGTTTAAATAAATTGCTGTGTTTCCTAGTGCATCCAAAATGGCATACAGAACCTCCAACTGAAATAAAAATAAAGAGATCCTACATAGATAGATTCCCATTTATTGTAGAATTGCATCCAGTTAAAGTTAGATTCTTGCAGTATCCTTATTTTCTGCTGTGCTTTCTCATTTTGGCAATTTCTTTTATTAGGTTGCTTATTTTATGTTGTATTTTATTCATAAAAGGAAAGCAGTTTTAGTGTTAGCTGAGCATACTATTCAGAAATTCATAAAGCTGCAGATGAATTTTAAATTTTATGCAAGGGTTCACAGAAATCTAAGCGACTTCTGAGGGATATTAAAGATTAAGTTGTGTACATCCTTTCGCTTTGCAAGTCAGCTGTTGGGTAAGGCTCTCTCTTTTTAAAATAAAATTAAATCATGGTCTCCTTCTCTTGCATATATTTGAAAAATGTCATTGATCTTTTAGTTGGCATCCTCAGCTGTTCTGCTGCCTGCTGGCAAAATTGGAGGTTGTTTAATTTAGGATCTCCCTCTAGTGGATCTGCTGGAGTCGAGGCACCGCTGAGCTCTCAGGGACAGGTTTTTGTCTTTCTGATGAGTTCAGAGTGCACAGTGAAAACCTCTGAAGTGAAGAGCAAAGGCTTTACTGCAAGTGGCAGCTTTAGCTAAAAAAGCAATGCAGGTTTGTCTCAGACGGCTCAGAAGCAAAGGCTGCCTTATCAGTGGAACTGCTGCAGATGCTCTGCTGATGTAGGATTTCATCCTCTCCCTGTGTTACAGGACTGATAAATGAACATGCTAACTTCTCAAATGGTTGAACTCTGCTTATTTAAATGCATTTATTTTATTTTAGCTCTGTTCTGGTTTGAATGATTGCATTAGCAAACCCTGTTTTCCTGCAGGCTAGTCGGGCAGATTGTAGGCAACCAGCAAGTCCAGAAGAGTAGGACAACACAGGACTGCATTTTGTCCTGGTATCTTAAAGAAAATTAAATGAAAATAATTAATTAAATAAAATTAAATATTGCAGATTCCTGCCCCAGACTGTTTCAGAAATGCAATTAGAGTAAACCTAGGTTTTATTCCTGGCCCTCATTTGGGAAAATTTGGAAAGACTTACTACTCATTACATTAAATAACTGTTTGACATGGTCAAAAGGGACACCTTCATCAAATGCCAAGTGCATGTCATCAAGTTTAAGAGGTCAAATGAAGAGGATTTCTGGCTCTGAGGCTGTGTGTTGTGCAGGGTGTTCAGATATTCAGTAATTGTCTTGTCTGGAGATGACAGCTTGCTGCAAAGGTTTTGCATTGCATGACAAAGGAAATTTTCATATCTGCATTAAGTAGGGCTCGTTGCAATCAAAGTGGCTCTGGAATGAGAGAAAAGCTTCAATGAGGGGAAATCAGACAGCTGAAAATTCTCTGATGTGTGAGACAATGGATTATTTCTTTGAAGGAATAAGGTCACGTAAGGGAAGCTTGTGTTGGGAGGAACAAAGGAGCATCATTCTCAGTTCTGCTGCAAAAAGCACCTCCTAGTTCAGCTGGGATCACTTCTGCTTTGTGTGGCATCTGTCCTCAACCTCAGGAAAGCCTTGCTGAGAGAATGTGGGGTTTCTAGATGTGTGATTTGCACCTGGGGAGGTCCTGGGAGTTGTTTGTTGCAGAAGATGAAAGCAGCAGAAGAACTGAAGCAAGGATGTCACAACAGTAAATAAATCTATTTTTATTCTCTCTAATAGAATTGTATAGATGTAAGATTTGTGATGCTTTTTGTGCTAATCTGGAGCAGTTGTATATTGGTTCTTGAAAAGATTTTGGAGTGTTCTGGATGTAAAGGCAAGGTCATGAAGGGCTTCAGTGAATCTGTTCCAGTGTTGCCTTAGATCACAGTTAATTCATAGGAAAATAGGGAGGAAGAAAAAGAACCAGAGGGGTTTCTTTGTTTCCAAGGTCTCATTATTTTATCCTTCTGACCTTGGAGGGGGAAAAAGCCCCCGTGGTTCAAGTTTTTTGAATTCCTCTTGAATGAGTAACTCTAGAAGTTAGGTTGTCCAGTTATTAAATAAACAAATCTTTATTCACAGCTGTACATTAATGTCCTTTCTCTTCCAGCAGAGATAGGTAATTAAATCCTTGCTGGTAGAGGAATGCACTCAAATAATGGATTGAATAATTTAATATCTTTGGGAAATGCAAACTGAAACAAAAATTGGGGCTGCCTAATTTGAATATATAGAGAGACTACAGAGGACTGAAATGAGAAAAGTGTATGTGGAGCT